GGCCCCCCCCCCCCCGCCAGCCCTCGGCCTCCCCTCCTTCCCTGCTACTCCCCACTTGCTTTCTTCCAGAAAGCCAGAGCCCATTCCAAACTCCAGGCCTGAGAAAGATAAACTGGTGACCCTCAGCCACAGGGCCTAAGAATCTCTATCAAAAAATAGACTGTGGCACCTAGGAAGCCAGTGAGTAGGTCTAGAAGAGATAGCCAGGGCCATGGGGCCAGCTGGGAGCATCATGACACGTGCATAGACTAAACTAGCCCTGTGATGGCTGGGTGCTATGGCTGATCACAAGTGGGGAAATACTTGGAAGGCTGAGGCAAGAGACTTGTGAGGTTGAAGTCCACCTGGCTACAGTAAGACTCTATCTCACATACAAAAAAAGTAAATAAATATCAAAGTTACCCAAGCATAGTGGTACATGCCTGTAATCCTAGCTCTTGAGAAGCAGAGACAGGAGAATTGAGTATGAGGTTGAAGTTCAAGGCAAGCCTAGGCTATGTATCCAGAGCCTGTGTCCAAAAATAAGTTATAAAATAAGGGCTGTAGAAATGTCTCAGTTACTAAAGTGTATGCTATGTATGTATGAAGCCTGGCTTCAGCCCCTAAGACCCATGTAAAAAGTCTTGGTGTGTGACACATGACTGCAATCCCAGTCCTGGGAAGGTAGAGACAAATGAATCCCTGGGGACCCAAGGCCAGCTGGTCTAGCAAAACCAGCAATCTTCAGATGCAATGAGAGAGAGGTGGAAAGTGATAGAGGGGAACAGACAGCTGATGTCAACCTCTGGCCACCACAAGTACCTGCATGCATGCACGTGTGCACACAAACTGATCATACACACGCGCGTGTGTGTGCGCGCGCGCACACACACACACACACACACACACACACACACACACACACACAATCATATAAATATATTTAATTAAGAAAAAGATTGTTGCCGGGTGTTTACACTCTTACCGAAGTTCAACGCCAGGGCTGATGCCATCCCAGCCCCCAGCCCCCAGCCCCAACCTGCTTAGACTTTGCTCCCTGCTCAGACTTTGTCACCTCACTTCTCCCTCCTTGGGCTTTGAACTCCTCTCCACTCAGTCACCTTCCAGCCCAGTCACCCTGAGGTCTACCTTGGCCCCAGGCACCTCAAACACCTTCTTGGGACTGGGAACCCAGGTTTCTCAGGAAGTCATGGGTGCTCTGGAATCTAGAAGAGGCTGTCCTTTACTGAGGAGCTTGTGGGCCATCCCACACATGCCAGTAACTGTTCTGCCTTGAACAAAAGGAACCCACTCGGCTGTCTCTCAAAGGCCAGTGAGTTGCTTCCTGTATTTGAAGGAAGGACCTGGAAGACACGTCCAGCCTAGACCATTTGCAGCCATAAGGGAGGAGGCCCTGACAATAAGGAACAGGATGTGGTGGGGGGACCAAGGTTCTCTGAACACAAACACACACACACACACACACACACACACACACACACACACACACACACAGAGAGTTCTTGAGCTAGAGAAGGGGTAGGAGATGAGGATTGACTCTCAGAAAACCAGACTAAAATTCACTCACCTAAGGCCCAGGTCAAAGCCCAAGCTAGAATGCGTTGGAAGGACCAGTGAGAGGCTGTGGAAACTGGATAAGTCTTCTCTCGTCTGGGGCAGGCGTGGGGGATGGGGGGATTGACAGTCTTTCTGTGATGTGACATTTTTGGATGGAGGAAAGAATAGGCTAGCAGGTTTATGAATGAATGAAGGGAAGGGTGGACAGATGCATTTTGGGATAAATAGATGGATTTGGGGGTGAAAGGATAGAAGAACGAATTTGGGGAGGGATGGATGGTGAGGTGGAGTGGGTGGGTGAGCTTTTAAATGGAGAGGACAGATAGATGGATTTGAGACGGTTGGAGGGATGGACAGATGGATGAAGTTTGAGTGGATGGAGGGATGATGCATGGAGGGAGGGAGGGAGAAGAGGGAGGGGGAAGAGGGAGAGAAGGTCCTTTGGACAGACTGGCAGGTGTGTAGGTGAATGGGGAGGGGGTAGATGGATACCTTTGTGTGAGTGAATGGATGAGCTACTTCCAGACTTTCTTGAGAGTGATACTCAAAGCAATTTTTCTACATCTCTAAACTGTGGGGTCCTGGCACCTCCCAGAGGCCAGAGTCGCTAACTGCCCAGTTCCCTTAAATCCCTAGAGAACTGAGAACCAAGGGCATAGATTTAGTTAGAGGCCTGGGAAACAATGACACCTGGAGACCTGAGCTGGCTGGAACATGTTCTGTGACCTTGGAAATGTCCAATCCCTGAGGCTCAATTCTCTTGTGTGGAAAATGAAAGTCAAGCCAGATGCTGGGGTTGCTAGGAGACAAAGCAAATGACTTGTAAAGTGTCTGAGGAGGTTGATTTGTGATACCTGAAAGTCACTTGGGGAATGTGATTCCCATCCCAGACATGCCTGGGCCTGGGACTTCAGCCATGTGCACCAATAAGCACAGGTACACACAGATCCATACATGCACACATATGACACAGAATAGCCTTCCAGTCCAGCTAAGTAGAAGGACGGCGAGTCCGATAGGCAGGTGGGGGACACATTTATTCTCCGGGGGTTTCAGGCTGGGATGGGGAGGGCCCAGCCTCAGTGGTGGAGGACTCTGGAATTAAGAACTGAGGCGATGGGGGTCCTGAGGTCTCCTGGGATTTGGCTTCCTGAGCCTGGGCCTGTGGGGCTGTGTGTTCAAAGGCAGCCTGGAGCAGGTGGGAGGCCAGGCAGGTGGTCCAAGTGAAAAGATAGGCCAAGTTCCAGGAAGTGAGGGTGGTTGTATGCTCCACCCACAGGTAGACTCGTCTCAGCAAGGCCAGGGCTTCCAGCAACACAGAATTCTGCAGGAGGGTCCAGACAAGCAAGAGCATTGGTGTGGACCAAAGGGATGGCTCAGCAAGCTGAGTTCAAGCCCTAGCACCCACAGGACAGAAGAGAAACAAATCCTATTTTCTCTGATGCCCACTTGTGTTCAGGCACAAGCATGCCCACACGCATACATGTGCACACACAAATAAATAATAAATGTTTGGGTTTCTTTTTCTTTTTAGTAACATTCTATGGGGCTGGGAAGATGGGTTAGTGGTGAGAGCTTGTACTACTCTTGCAGGGGACTTCAGTTCAGTCTCCATTACCCACATCAAGTGGCTCACAACTGCGTGTAACTCCAACTTGAGGGAATCTGATGCCCTCTTCTGGCTCTGGAGACACACACACACACACACACACACACACACACACACACACAATCACACACACACAAACACGCACATGCACACAATCATACACTCAATTTAGAAATAAGAATAAAAAATTAAAAACAGGAAACTAAGGGCTGGCGAGATGGCTCAGAGGTTACGAGCACTGGCTGCTCTTCCATGGGTCCTGAGTTCAATTCCCAGCAACCATATGGTGGCTCACAACCATCTATAATGAGATCTGGTGCCCTCTTCTGGCCTGCAGGCATACATGCAGGCAGAACAATGTATACATAATAAATAAGTAAATCTTAAAGAGAGAGAGAGAGAGAGACAGAGAGACAGAGACAGAGAGAGAGCATGCTAAGCGGCCTCCAGGACCTGCCCATGGCTGGTACTGAGCAGCCTTAGTCACACACCAGAGTCCCCAGTCTCTCAGCATCCCCAGCCTGAATCCCTGTCAACCCACCTGGCTGGGCAACCAGCCCAGACTAAAGTGATGGGCTTTCTGCACCAGCTTCCAGGTCAACAGCAGCATCAGTAAAGCCACCAGCATCAGGCTATGAAGACAGGAGATAAACAGGTCCCTGAAGGTGGCTGCAGACATGCCCAGAGGTACCCAGGCACCTAGGTGCCACAGGGTCAGTCTCACGATGCGAGCACAGCACAGCCCGACTTTGTATGCCAGCCTGGGTCCCCAGAGCAGCAACCACAGTGGGACCCATAGCAATGCCAGTCCAGTTTGAAGGGCCAGGCTCAGGGGACAGGTTATGATGACTCCTGGAAGCAGGTAGACCTGGTCACTGCGGGAGCCCCGGGCCTCCTGGGCCAGCCCCAACACCCAGTGCTGAAAGGCAGTCATCTTCAGGAGCAGAAAGCGGTACAAGTGCGTGCGGTTCTCCATCAGCTGCAGGAAGACGGGGACACCAGTGTTACCAGTGCCACCCACCTGGGACCCAAACTGTGATTTAGACATAGGGGCTGCCCAGTTATTATGGGTTGCATCTCAGTTAACTTATGAATGTACAAGAGTAGTTCCTCATTTATTTGTTTATTTATTTGATTTTGGTTTCTTTTGCAACAGAGTCTCTCTATGTAGTCCAGACTGTCCTAGAGATCACTTTGTAGAACAGGCTGGCCTTGAACTCACAGAGATCCTCCTGAGTGCTGGGGTTAGAGATGTGCACCACCACTGCCCAGCCCATAATCTTTAAAGAGTGATTTCCAAGCATGGGGATGTAGCTTAGCTGTGGTTAAAACCAAAAAAGGTGGCACATGCTGAAGTCTCAGCAGTTGGGAGGCAGAGAGAGGAGGAGAAAGAATTCAAGGTACTCTGATGCCATAGAAAGTTCAAAGCTAGCTTAGTCTACATGAAACCAAACAAACGGAGGTGGCTAGGTGGTTAAAGCTCCTGCCCCACAAGCCTGTTGACCTCAGTGTGATCCTGGAACCCCTGTAAAGAAAGAAGGAGAGAACCAACACCCCAAAAATCTTCCTCCAACTTCCAAATGGGTGCTATGACAAGCACCCACCACACACATCACATACAATAATAATAAATAACAAAAATAAACAAATAAACAAACTGAATGGTGGTGGCACACGCTAATCCCAGAACTCGAGAGGCCAAGGCAGGTGGATCTCTGTGAGTACAAGACCAGGCTGGTCTACAGAGTGAGTGCCAGGACAGCCAAGGCTACACAGAGAAACCTTGTCTTGAAAAACAAAAAATTAAAAACAAATAAGTAGATGTGACCTCCCCCTTAACTCTTCAGGATTTGAACACAGGCTGTGTGACTTCCCTCAAGTACCTGGGCATGCCCCTGGTTGCCCTCGGCATCACAAGGGCATCTGGAAATAACGAGACAAAGAGATGTTGAGACATGGGGACCAGGTGACAGAGTTTGGTACTGTCAGGGGTATGGGGAAGAGACTTAAGATTTCCAGGTCTCTTATCTGAGTGGCAGGTTGGCTAAGAGTGTCTTCTCTTCACCAAGGAGTGGGAGTAATGGGGAATGAGGCTGTAACTGAGAATGCCTTCCTAAAGAGTAAGCCTCCCTGGCAGAGCCTAGACCTCCAGTCCATGGGTGACAGAGATGATCAACCTGGAGCCCCCTGACCCACAGGAGTGTCAGAGTGCAGGGTCTGCAGACTCTTGAAGGACCAGGATAGGAAGCCAGGCACCAGGCACATGCCTGTTGTCCCAGCAGATCAGGAGTTCAAGGCCAACCTGGGCTATACAGTTGAGTTTGAAGCTAGCCTGGACCACATAGTGAGACAGCAGGGGATGGGGGGAGACACACAAGAAGAGGGGACTGGAGAAATGGCTCAGCGGTTAAGAGTACTTGCTGCTCTGGCATGAAGATTGGAGCCAAGTTTGGGTACCAGAACCCACAGCATTAAGTCAGTGTGGGCACGGTCCAGTGCATTCCTGCAACCCAGCACCCAAGATACTGAAGACAGGAGGATCTCTGGGGCTTGCTAAGCTGCCAGAAAAGACAAAATAAACAAAAACCCATCAGCCCCAAGTTCACAGGATTGAAGGAATAAGGGAGAATGATAGAGGAGGGCATCCAGACCTCTGGTTTTTATGTGCACACACAGCATGTGCATCCACACACATGTACAGACATCATACCCACACACATGAACGGACATCATACCCACACACATGGACGGACGTCATACCCACACACATGTACAGATGTCATACCCACACACATGTACAGACATCATACCCACACACATGTACAGATGTCATACCCACACACATGTACAGACATCATACCCATGGGTAACACATGTACAGACGTCATACCCACACACATGGACGGACGTCATACCCACACACATGTACAGATGTCATACCCACACACATGGACGGACGTCATACCCACACACATGGACAGATGTCATATCCACACACATGTACAGACATCATACCCACACACATGGACGGACGTCATACCCACACACATGGACAGATGTCATATCCACACACATGTACAGACATCATACCCACACACATGGACGGACGTCATACCCACACACATGGACAGATGTCATATCCACACACATGTACAGACATCATACCCACACACATGGACGGACGTCATAAAAGAAAGAAGGGGGGAGGAGGGGAAGGGAGAGGAAAGGGAAAGTGGGCCCATGAGATGGCTCAGCAGGTAAAGGGGCTTGCTGCTAAACCTGATGGCCTGAGTTCAATCCCCAGGACCCACATGGTGGAAGAGGAGAACTGACTACACACACACACACACACACACACACACACACACACACACACAGTCAATCAATCAGTCAGTCAGTCAGTCAGTCAGTCAGTCAGTCAGTCAGTCAAATATAATCTTTTTGAACGAAAGAAAGGACCAGGTGTAATGGCACACATCTTTAGTCTCAGTACTGAGGGAGGCAGAGGCAGGCAGATCTCTGGGAGTTCAAGGCCAGCCTGCTCTACATAGCAAGTACCAGGGCAGCCGGGGCTACCCAATGAAACTTTTCTCAAAATGGATATACATATAAATAAACAAACAGAAGGAAGGGGAAGAGAGAAAAGAAAGGAGGGGGAGGAGGGGAAGGAAGACTGCTGATAAACACCCATGCCACAGTAGTTCCTGATGAGGCTTCTGGGAGTTCACTGGTTATTCCCTGGTGGCTAGTAAACACTGAATCTCTATAGGTTCCTATCCCCACCATGCTTACCATCGCAGAGAGACTCCCAACCTGCAGCAGAATTCCGAGGAGGCCGGATCTGACCCGGGGAAC